AATAAAAAAAGAAAGAAAGAAAGAAAAGAAAAAAGGCAGAAGTGGCGCTGTGGCTCAAGTGGTAGAGCTCTAGCCTTGAGCTGAAGAGCTGAGGGACAGCACCCAGGCCCAGAGTTCAGGCCCCACGACCGGACCCAAAAACAAAAAAAACAAAAAACTATCTTTTCAACACAGCCTGGCAATGAAGACTCAGTGAGATTGTATATATATTAAAACACGTTAGGGCAAAATAGGGTACATTTCCTGGTATGATTTGGGGTATTCCAAGAGGATCTCTGATGTCAAAGAATCTTACCTCTAACCTGCTTGGCACCTGACCTACCACACTGAAGATTCATTTTCAAGCACTTAAAAGTGTTTCCAGTTATTTAGAGTAGCATTGTCAACCATAAAATATATCTGGGAAGAGTGACCTCCTCAAGTAATATTGCTGAATGGTTTTAAAAGATTGTTGCAGTTTAAATAAGAAAAAGGCCCTTTGTGAATGAAATGCAGGACAGACACTTAAGGGATGGCAAGGGAGAAGTGAATCTTAGCCTGGGCTCTCCTCTGTTGTCTGTTACACACTCAATAGATAAGCTGATCTCACCACTGAGAAAGTGACTACAGGAAACCTGAGCGCCTCCATAGTGTTCATCAAAATCCATATTGACACAGGTATTTCATACTGCTCACTTAGAAGTGGTGCTGCACACTTTATGTTGATCTAAAATAGATAAGCACAAACATGTTAGGAACTGATATATTTGCTTCTGTACTCATACTAATCATTAAAACAAATATTGAAACTAAGTCCACAGTTAAGTGGCTGATTAAAGATTCCCAAAGAAACATAGGTCCCATGATTTCCCTTATTTACAATATCTAGTATATGACTCAGTCAAGCAGAAAAGGTCAGATAAGGTGATGTTATGGAAATGAACCCTAAGATATGTATTCAAATGTTTTTTTTCTTTCATGCGATTGGTTTTAACACATTTATAAGATTATTTCTTTGTTGCTATGTATGTCCCTCCCCCACAGTATAACCCCTGTTTTCACTGTATTTGATGTCGGTATAATTTGTGGAGGGGAAGGGAAAAAACGTTTAAATAGGGATACAGGTGGACTCATTGCAACAATGAGAAGTACAAGTCGTTATGTCGAAAACAAACTTTAAACTTTGGTGGGGGGGGGGAGGGAAGCGGGATGATTGGGTGGGGGGATGGGGGGAGGATGGGAAGGATGGGAAGGGGAAACAAAAGAGGAGGCTACAATGCTTGATAAGAAATGTACTCATTATCTTGCCCATGTAATTGTAACCCTTCTGTACAGTATTTTCACAATAAAAAAGAAGAATTCCATGTAGACACAGGGCTGAATAAAATGTTTGGCTGTATGTACGTATGTATACACACAAACACACACATATGATACTGTAGAGAGGGGCTACAGTTACATGAGTAAGGTAATGAGTACATTTCCTATCGAACACTGTTACCTCCTCCTTCTGTTTTTCCCCTACCCATCCCTTCCCTCCCTACTTCCCCAACTCCTCCCCCACCCAGAAGCTGTAAAGTTCATTTTCAACATAGTGTCTTGTACATCTCATTGTTATAATGGGTCAACCTGCATCCTTATTTCAGCTTTTTATTATTTCCCTTCTCTTCCCCAAATTAGAAAAATGTATATACAAGCAGCAGGGAACCAGAATCAAATACAATGAAGCAGGTTTGGGGGACGAACATACAAGAAAAAAAAAATCACACAGTACATTATAAGTACATTAAAAATAACAGCGTCCTTATCTTGGGGTTCATTTTGCTTTAGCATCATCTTATATGGTCATATGTACATAGCTTTTGACCTTTTCCAGACATATACTACTTATTGCAGATAAGGGAAACCATGGGACCTATGTTTCTTTGGGCCTGGCTTACTTCACTTAATATAATTTTTTCCAAGGTAAAATAATACTTTTTGATTCAAAGAAAGAAGCGGGAGGCTCAAACTAAACAGAACAGTACATCAACTATGTTAGGTAATAACTTTGAGAAACGGTAATAAGAGCTCATTCTGGCAAAATCAAATGTGGAATATCAAACATGAAGACATAGATGTTTTCTAGACATCTTTTATTTGAAAGGAATTACATTAACAGTCATATTTATAAATACTATTTAACTATAAATTCTCCAATTCCCACTACTATCTACAATTTTCAAAGGTTCCCATGCATTATTTGCCTTTATCCTGAAGAATTACTTATTTTTACAAATAAAAACACACCAGGGCTGGGAATGTGGATCAGTGGTAGTGTGCTTTGCCTAGCATGCATGAAGCCCTGGATTCAATTCCTCAGTACTACATAAACAGAAAAAGCTGAAAGTCCCATTGCAACAATGAGATGTACAAGTCCTTATATCGAAAACGAACTTTACAAATTTCGTTCGGGTGGGGGGGTGGGGAAGATTGGGTGGGGAGGCGGGGGGAGGCTGGGAAGGGATGGGAAGGGGAAACAAAGGAGGAGGCTACAATGCTTGATAAGAAATGTACTCATCTTGCCCATGTAATTGTAACTCCTCTGTACAGTATTTTCACAATAAAAAAAGAAAAGAAAAAGCTGAAAGTGGCTCTGTGGCTCAAGTGGTAGAGTGCTGGCCTTGAGCACAGAGAGGCTCAAGAATAGCATTCAGGTCCTGAGTTCAAGCCCCAGGACTGGCCAAAAAAAAAAAAAGAAACACTAACAGTTTATTATCAATTTTCTCTAGCTTATCTGCAGGTTTCATTAACTTTCATTAAATATCCTTTAATCTGATGCTTCAAAAAGTCTATTGAGTTTACATACAAATTTCCCTTAATCATTCAAGCATGGTTTTGTTCCCTGAATAAACTGAATTTGTGCTCACCATTCACTTTCTGGACCATGTGAAATTCTTTTCCCTCAAGGTGTTAGGACTTCTTTAATTTCTGCTGTTCAGTGTCACAGCTAGCTTAGGTACCTGGCATTGTGGTTAGGATGGTTGAAAAAAATTAGTCTATCTCACTCCACTTTACCACTAGGACTTTCTCAATCTTAGTACTTGCCATCATCGTTTCTGAAAAATCCTACTGGTAACTTAGGTCTGCCTCTCTCCATGGAAAAAGAAATGCCAAGAGGTGGGGTCATTAGGAACTGTGTTAGTGGCTGGCTGCCGTATTTGTTAACCCCTCTGCCATCATGCAGGAAACAGAAATCCCTTGAAGAAGGAATATTTTCAATTTACTCATATAAAAGGGTTTTTTCCATTATTGAATGTTAATTACTTTTTCAATGTCAATAATCAGAGTCTGATCAGTGTTAGACACAAGAGAAATGTCTCCTTCTACACTACACCTGTATTTCTGTGCTGTGCCATACAATCTGCTCTTCCTGACCCCAGGAAAAAGATGTACTTGTTTGTCCACAAGACCTTTCACTTGGAATTAAAGCAAGAGCTTATGCTTAACTCATGAGGGGATAGCTGTTGAATATTAAGAATGAGACTAGGCTATAGTTGCCTTTTATTAGGATCATAATTTTCTGTGTACAATTTGGATTCATGGTAAAGAGGGAGAGTGAGCAACACTGGAAACGGAAATACGGTATGGGACTATTTTGAATGGTCCCTTTATTTCAGGTTTTATAAGCCTTAGTATTTGCTATGGTTCATAATTTCCTCATTAACTAACATACAACTCAGCAAATTACTCTTTCTGGAGCAGTGTGCTGGTGAATGTTTAACATCTAACCGCAGAAAAGCCCTAACGCAGCATCTACCAATTTCCAGGGTGACTTCTACCAATTCTAAGCTATTAACATGATGTCACTGCTTAGCATATTGGGAAAAGTTATATAGTTGGATCTCATGGGCCAGTACCAACTGTTGGATCAAGCACTTCATAGCTACTTTTGAGCTTTTAAAAGCAGAAACAGCCAGAGGACATAAAGGATGCAAAAAGCAAAACAGGACTAGTTTATGTTCCTTAGGATTAAATGCAGGCTGTGCACTGTCAGTACAATGAGTCTTTTCACTGCATACTAACACGAAGTCTAATATTGTTCTATCTCATTATTGGTGATGGATTTAATGTTAAGGCTGTCTGCCAAATTGATCCATTACAAAGTTACCTTGAAATCACGCCATTTTGTACTGAGACTTCTCACCAGACTTTTACCAGGTTTTTGTCCTTTTTTTCCTAGTTGTAGCTCCTTCAGGCTGGCTTCTGTATAATTTGCAGAGCCTTCATGTTTCTTTGAGAATTTTTCTTCCTGGCAGAACAAGATGTGCTGGGCTCATCATGTACTTTCCCTGCCCAAACATTGTAATCATATTGTTCCCTCAGGAGTTCTGTGCAAAGTGCATTAAAACAACTGGTCTTAATAACTGCAAATAATATGCATTCTCACTTCTGGTTGGTAAACCAGTGTCTTGTGAATCTGGTTAATGTAAAAGGATTCTCTTGCACTCAGTCACCCATAGTGAAGAAATATGTTCAGGACACTTTGGATTGTCGTGCTCCCGAGTTAATTGGCTACAGATGCCCAGCTTGAACTTCAGATTTTTAGGACAACACACAGCTTTCCCATTATGCTATCTTAGATAGTATATATTATATATCCGTTATACTATCATTTCAGTGAGGAGTGAATACAAATTCCAAACTAAAAGCTCATCACAGGTTTAGAAAATGTTGAAGCAACCTACCTGCCACTTCTGGTAACCTCATGCTTTGAAATTCTCCCTACTTATCTGAGAATGTCCAACATCACAGGCCTTTATACAAGTTCGCGGATGAGGCAGGCTGCCAAAAAAGCCGAGTGACCTCTTAGAAACTATTCTTAGAAGTGGATAAAGGGTCTTGATATTTCAGAATAATTACTTGAGTTCCAGTTCCTATGCTATAAGGCCTTAAATGGGTTGTCTTTTTCAATTTACATGTTTGAAAAACATTTCTCAAAGTATTTTACTTTAAAGTTGACAAAATAACAGAAGCAGAACTTGTAAAAATACATTTTTAATAAACGTCAAGAAATACAGTACACATTTATTGAGGCTTTACTTTGCATTTTACAGCAAACATACTATCTATTATTGTGTATATATACAAGTAAGGTCAATTCGGGTTCTTGTTTTTTTTCCATGGCTGGACAAACAAGATCCAGATCCAGGCACAAGCATCTACAGTTCATTTTCCAAGTTTGTTTTCCCACTTCTGTAGAAGTCCTTTAACATTAATAGGCTCTTAATGAAAACAACAAAAAAGTTAACTCTCCCATCATAATGACAGCCTGGTAAGTATTCAAATGGCATTTTAAAAAACAATGGTAATGCTTTCCTTTGATGGTTTAAAAAACAGCTAATGATAGCAAATCTTTTCCCAAGTGAATCTTTAATAAATATCAATTTGAGGCTATACCACGTAACCAAATATTCTCATATGAAAGCTTCGTATCTATAACCCTATGAACTAAAAATTGTCTAATGTCATAGTGGCAGAGTCTATTTCTTTAACACTGTTTATACAAAAGAACAAGAGATGGTGGCATTCTTGATTCTTCTGGACAAAAGTTTAGTGACAACAGTTACTCCAATTAATTAGTAAAGGTGGAAATCAATATTCATATCTACATACCACTTGCTATTGTTTTGGGATGACCATGACTCTGCTATATCTGACAAGAATGCAAAGAATCGGAACTGGAAAGAAATCAGAACCTATAATTTAAAAATTATAGCCTTGCATGCTATTGTTGATGACATCTAAAAATTATACATGTGGAAATAGTTGCTATACACATAAAGTACTATTAGAAATAGAAAAAGTCCGTGTATTTATAGAAACACCAGGATCATACTCAAGTTTGCAAAAGAGCAATAATAGGTTTACCATACAATTAGCTGTTTGTGACGTTTGTAATAGTTAATAAAACAATCTTTAGATCATAATGCTAATATGTATACGGCAAATTATACCAAATAAATAATCTGTAAGTTTCTAATGTCCCTGAATTTCTAAGAGTTATCTCAGTGTTAACACAGCTTCATTTCATTGATACTACATGAAGAGAGGTTTCTTCCCCCCCCCCCGCCTTTTTTAAAGACAAGGTCTAACCATCTAGCCCTAGGACTCATAATGCTCCTGCTTCAGTCTCCTGAGTATTCTATACACAATACACACACACACACACACACACACACACATGCACACGCACACGCCACCAAGCCCAGCTTCAGATTTTTAAAGTCATCAACCCTTAATATACTATACTTTTAGAGGTGGAAAGGGTATAATTTATCTACCACTTTTGCCCATTCTCATGAATCTGACATAGTATTGTTATAACATGTAAGCTAAAGGAGATGCCCTAAGGATCCAATAGACTGAAGTGATTTTCTAAGATCTACCATATTGCTGGTATTGTACAACAGGCCTGTCTGTCAGAAAGTCATGAAGTATATTCATAGATCAATGACTGAGAAGGCCAGCTGCCCATGAAGTCAGATTTTTCCCTAATTGTCAGTTATCAGTTTGGTCTTCTATAGATTAAAATTTCTTCATGGAGAGGACCAGATCTCCTTCGTTTCATAAATCCTCTGAAGCATCTACTACAGTGTTAGGCAGAGATATATATTCAAGGATATAATCAAGGATGGGGGGCAGGATTGAATTCAAGGTAAATGTGGTCATGGTAAATCTATCCCCTATTTCACCTATTATTACTCAGTCAACCTAGTGAATCTCTACCCCATATATCTAAGAGAATGACCTATTATGTTCGAACAACCTTTCATCAATTTCTCCTAGCCACTAAAAGATTGTATATGCACATGAGTAAGATTTAATGGATAGTATCTGGCAAAAAGGATTTTCTGCCCCTGAGGAAGCACCAATCTGTCACATGGTACGTTTTAATAAAGCAATGTAATTTATAAATTCACTAGCTTTAAAAAGTGTTAAGTGTTAACAATAACTAATAGATATTTAAATTTTTAGTCTTATTCTGAGATTTAAAATGCATTTTTACTTTTAAACAACTGGCATGAGGTAGAAGATAAAGAACTCACAACAGTTAAGTAATCTTTAACATACTGAAGCCTATTCAATAAGATTAGCCCCGAGAGAAGTTACAGCTGTAACTGGTAGATTATTATCGAAATATTACCTTATCTGAAAGGAAATAGTTACATTTGGAGTTGTATTTCTTTTTCTAGTCCAAGGTCTTACAGAAAAAGGACAATCCACAATGTGAGTATTCACACTGTACACAACGGCTTCTCTTACCGATCATTCTTTAGCATGTTGTTTTAAATCACCAACTGCAACATAGACCCTTTCCACTTCAACTGATCGATCAGATAATCAGTAAGGACGTTGTTAAAATTCCTTCTGGTATAAGAAGCAATATAAAAGGAATGTTTCACATTTAAAATAATTAATTTACACCTCATAAAAACTAGCAGCACTTCCTTTTATCAGGACATACTAATTTGGCTCTAGTGACTAGTCACAAACAAACAAAGAAAAATTACTCTAGCCCAAAAGGCTCTTTACACAGGGAAAATGGAAAGCTACAAGAAAAAATTTAAGCAGCTAATTACATCCCGATTAAGTAGTGTGTGAAACTACTGGAATGTCAATTTCAATGGCGGATAGGCGGGAACGTGCTGAATAGGGCTGTGAGTAAGTGTGCATACTCGGAGGATGGGAGTACAGTGGCTGCCAGAAAGGAGAAGGCAAAGATTTGCATGCACAATACCAAATACACAGCAGAAGTGCAGTCATAAACAGACCCCCTGCACTCGCAATAGTAACATACACTGCATAGTCGAATGTAAAAACAGGCTCAAACTTCTTGTTCAGATGGATATTGTAAAAGATGACCCAGATGGATGGAGAAAGGCTCACAGTACCTGCCAGAAAAAACAGCAGTCCAGCCACCAGATGGCAGCCTGCACTATTGACCAGACACTTGGCCAGCTTGATATTGGGCACTGAAGATCTGAAGGCTGTGTTACACATTCCAATCAGGCAGAGCAGCAAGGCACCCATTGCAATCAGGATGCTGAGGGGCAGCGCAAACTGGAGGAGACGCAGGTCCAGCTGGTCAACTGATGAGTACCAAGTAGTGTCATACATCAAGCAGTCGCTGCTTCCATCATACCGGGCACATTTTACCCACAAACCTGTGTAAACAGTCAGGTTCTTCTCATTCCTATTGAATGTGATCAGTCGCAATTTTCTCCAGTTTGGAAGCAGAGTCCCTGCAAAGAGGCCTGCTACTGAGGCGATTCCACACAAGAAGGACAGGACTGTGGCTGCATGGACATCCCGACAGCCCATGGCAGGCAGGCTTTATGTAGTACTGTCAGTCAAACTAGGAGTGACACACAAGAAGACAAATCATGAAGGGACAACAGAGAGCACAGCGGGAAGGCAACACTCACTGGTAACACATCTAGTAATGAAATGTCAATCCAAAGAGGGACTTGCCTTTGTTTCTTCTCTATACAATGTGCCATTTTTTACGAGCACATGTACATGGGCCCAGAGTTCAACTGCACATATATTTGCCTGGTTACCACTGTCCGTGTTTTATAGCAGCTCAAGTCTTTACCATCAGTATTTTTTCAGTTATTGGGACAACAAACAAGGCAAAAATACTGAATCACAATTAAACTGCTCATAGTTGCCAATATTCACTCAACACACACACACAGTGTGTATGTATATGTATGTACATCTACAAATAGCATTATTCAGCTGCAGATGTTCATGCAGGTGTAAAACAAGACTAGTGCACAGCCGAATCATGTGGCTCTTTATGAGACAAAAGTCTGAGGAAAGAAGCAGTGCAGGACAGCAGAGCAGTAATGAGCTACATGAGTCAGACTGCTTGAGTTCTCATCCCCACTCCTCTTTAATAACCAACTGACCTTGGAACAGATGCAGAACTTCCCTTGCCTCATGTCACTCATGTAAAATAATAATGCCTAGCCCCTATGGATTCAATGAGTTCATACAATGTCAAGTGCTTAAAATATCTTTAGTGCTATGCTTCCTGAGGCAATTTCTTAAAAGAACTGCCCAGTGCAATGAGACTACAGTGTGATCTGAGAACATATATATTGGGAAAGGCTATGAATGATGCCAAGCTCCAAAACTCATATCCCTCTTGGTTCTCTCTCTCTCTCTCTAATATACACCTGTCTCCCCATATATGAAAGTAATTTCCAGGGTTTTGCAGAAGTCATCCTAGGATAATTTGAGGAAGCGGGTACTAATACCGCAGTATTAGGGGTATTAGTTCACAAAGGTGAGCCACTGGTAATGTAGAAGTGCACAAGGAAATATTTATCACTAAGCGCATTCATGCTGAGTGTGCTGAGTACTTTACGTATGTCAAATATTCTGTTAGGCCCTGAAAGGAACTGGAGAATTATGACCAACAACTTGTTCAAAGAATGTTAGATAAGCAAAGCCAACTAATTTCATTTCTATATATCAAGCACACTGAGAAATTACTAGTAGCAAATGGGCTCATCTTCAAAGAGTTAATAAGTAAAAGAACGAACACAAAGATGTCCAAAAATCATCCTGTTCAACTACTTCCTGGCTGGTTCAAGCTGACCCAAGTTAGTGCTTTTCGGGGAAATCTGTAAGACTCTAGTTATTGTACTATGATTGATCATATAAGAAGAATGCAAAGACCTCTGACATAATGGCAAGCTGTTTCTATGGTAAGAAAAATAGCAGGCAAATCTTTCTCTTATTGAAAATTAAAATTGTATTGTTTTTTCTTACACCACAAACTACAAAAATTGGTATCTTACTCAGCATTAATTTTATCAAAGCACTATTCAATTCACCTCAAAGCACTATACAAACATATTTTCCACCATGACACAAAAGATAAGACCACTTTAAGGTAGCACATTTACTTTTTGTGGTCAGAACACAATGAAAGAGGGCAAACAGAATAACATGCCTTTAGCACGAGAATGAACACTAGCTAGCTGATGACTCTTCAGATGGGTGAGCTTACTGTTTACACCTGAGACTGGTTGGTATTGTTATCTAGGAGACCAATGATACAGCTTGCAATCAGCCATAAACTATTATGAACACACTAAGAAGTCACCTATACACACAAAATTACTTTCTTCTTCCATTTTTTTTCTTTTTGCAGTATTGGGGTTTGAATTCAAGGTTTTACATCTTCAGCAATTTTTGTACTGGTATTTTTGAGATAGGGAGTTACTACCTACCAGGGCATGCGGCTAGACTGAGAGCTGGTATTTTAGGAGTAGTGGGGATGATAGCTATGTACCACTATGCCCAGCTTCTTTCATTGATATAGGAGTATTTCAACCTTTTCTGCCTAAGATGGACTGGAACTATAATCCTACCAATTTCAGCTTCCTGCATAGTTTGGATAACAGATACAGATCACCATGCCCAATTGGCTACAAGTTGAGAAGGGGTCTCATGAACTTTCCTCCCTTGGCAGGCCTTAAACTACAATCCTTGCATTCTCAGCCTCCCAGGTAGCTAGGATCACAGATACCAACCACTGGTACCTGGCTTAAACTTTAAACTACTTTTAAGGTAGTGTGAGATGATCAATAGCAAAGTTGTTTGTATATGGAATGTTGACAGAAATTTAATTCTGTAATGATTATCAGTAGATTATCACATAGAAACATTTTTTCTGGATTGTCAGCAATCACAATAATTATAATCATATAACAATAATGGCAGAACATTGTTTTTAGAGGAATTATAAAGACTTTCAAAACAGCCACTTCCCATTAGTGTTCACCTGTTACACAAGGATTTTCACAATTCAGTGTTACACAAGGTATCATTTTGAATAAAAATATTTTCAGGAGGATTTATTTCTCGTGGTTTTGTATATAGATGTCTTACATCTTTAATTTGTTAAAGAAAATAAGTATCATTAGTAGAAGGAAGGGAAATAAGGCTTGACCAATAGACATACTTACCCTTTGAGGTATTTATAGTTCTAAAGTAGCTTTAGTCAACTTAGAAGAGACATGCACATATGAACAAGAGTAGAGATAATCTGGGCCTGAAGAAATAGGAAAAGTACTCACATTAATATGTTACTTCTCATTTGAATTCAAGTGGAGTTAGAAAAATAACAATCACCTAAAAACAACGAAGTGTTATGTCAAAAAAATGCAGGAGATAAGTTTTTCAAAAAGACAGTTTCAGATTGGAGTGTGTAGAACACTTGCCTAGTATAAGCCTGGATTTGATTACCAATACCACATAAACAGAGTAGTCTATTTTTAATTCATATATTAGTATATGTAAATAACTTATTTTGTGGTTTAAGATAGAATTAAGGATAAAAATTACTTACTTTCTGAGCAGGTAACAATGTTCGCTATGAAATGTACTCACTACCCTACTCATGTAACTAACCCCTCTGTACAACATTTTTACAATAAATTTTTACTCTCGGAAATATCAACATTTAGTGGATTTTTTAAAAGTCCTTATGACTATAGTGAAAGAATAGTGAAGATAAGGAAACACTATTTAATAGTCTTGTAAGTAAACTGCACTTAACAATGTTTTTAAAAGCATACAAGACGAAACTGATCTGCATTGTACATTCCAAAATTTGCAACCAGAATGCAACTAAAGTTTTTGTTTCCACCAATGGCTCAACCTGCCACTTAGGGATGATTCCATGTCTTTAAAATCAGCAACTTCCTCTTCAAATGCTCTTTAACTCAAACAGGTAGGATGAGTGAAAACTTGTAAAGCCGGAGTGCTTCCTGTATTAAGGTGTTTATCACTGGTCCCATTATGTTCATTATGTACAACTTTGAATCAAGATTTCAATCAAGTCTCCCACATGATTCTTGAGTAGTTATCAAGCACCATTGTCTCGGAGTTAGAGGAGACCGTTTTATAACAAATAACACACAACAGGCCCCCTTAGACCACTTCATGGAAAGCTACGGAATGTGGTCCTTTTCAGATGCGACGACGTGATAACTGCACCTTTCAGGGTGCTCGGGACACGAACAGCTAGACCAGACAGACGGACGGAGACACAGCAACAAACAAAACAAAGACCTTGGGCCAGAAGAAAGTCAACTGAGCTTCCCAGCAACCCACTCCACCGTCCCCGCTCCCACTCCTGAGAGGTATCCAGGGGGAGAACTCGAGCTAGCGGAAATGGAGGCGGGAGAGCCCTCCGGTGGAGCCAATGGAAATGGACGGGGGGGCGGGAGCCCTCCCGGTCAGAGCCCATTGAAATGGGCGGGGGGCGGGAGCCCTCCGGGTCAGAGCCCATTGAAATGGGCGGGGGGCGGGAGCCCTCCCGGTCAGAGCCAATGGAAAGACAGCGCAGACGAAGGCCGCGGCTCCGGCGCAAAGCCGGTCCCCGCCACCGGGAGTGGGTTTGAACAGCTAGCAGGTCACCATTACACAACCAGAATCAGCTGGTTGTTCAAAAATAGCAACTCAACCACCGCACCGCACCGCCGGCCGGGCGCCCGGCCCAGGCTTCCCCACCACGCGCCCCGGCGCTCCCACACCGCTCTGCGGACAAGCGATTTGAAAGCTTTATCAACACCCCCCCCCCACACACACACAATTTTCACATCCACAAATGTGGTCAACCTTCCTCAGCGTCTCCTCTTGATTTAGGGTCGTGACACCAGGCCCACAAGGATTCGAGCAAGACTCCGAAATCCTAACCGTCTTGACCACACCTACCTGTACCTGCTCCCCACAGCCGGAGCGCCGCGGTCGCCCGCACCCAGAAGCCGCCCCAAGCTTCCCCCACTCAGCGTCCCCGGAAGCGCGTTCCCAGTGCTGCAGCTGCCCCGGAGGCTTCTGGGAACGCAATCCCGCTCGCTTGGACTCGAGGTGGAGTACCTCGCTGTCAGGAACTACAACTCCCAGAATGCACCGTCCCGCCCCCTCAGTCCTCCGGGAGCATCCTAGGACCAACTCCTCCCTGCAGGTCTCCAGACCAGTCCTCTTGCACTGAGACTGTCTAGATTTGGGTTAACGGTTTAAAACACGCGCACGCGCGCGCGCACACGCACACACACGCAGAGAAAACTGATAGTCGTCTAGATTTGGGTGCTCTTGAAAACGCTCTAATATGTTAGAAAAAGTATCTTAAATCCAGACCCCTCTCCCACAGAAGTATTTAGCTAGGCTCATAATAGAACCAGGCAACCTGGGTCTGCAAAAGGCTCTGGCTGAGCACCTCTCTGAGCTGATCTGTAAGTGTTTGGGAAAAAGACAACTGCAATTTACAGTTGCCTTGAATACTGTACACACCATTCGTTGTTGGATTTTAAACTAACCTGCCCACATAATTCGTTCCTTCTCTTAAAAGTGAGGTTCTGTAGCTGAGTGTTTGAATCGAACTATTCCTATACGGCACTGACATGATTAAAAAAGAAACAACTGCTAAAATGTCGTTTTCTAAATTATATTAACACACATATACCCTCACAGAAAGATACAGAAAATGCTGCAAATATTAACAAGTATTGAAGCTTAAGAACTTACGGGTGATTATTCTAACAAATCCTCTTTGAAAGGAATTCAAAATAAAAACAAAATAAAAACAAGAAAAGATATATACCTAACCCCAGCAACCTCAGAGTACACCCTAATTTAGCGTTAACGTAATTACAGAGGTAATCAAGTTAAAGTGAGGTCATTAGCACAGGCTTTCATCCAATGACTAGTGTCCTAACAAAACAAAATGTGAAGAAAAGAGATGAACAAAAAGAAATGTGAAGACAGATCCACACAAGAACACTACGTGAAGCTGAAGACAAGAGATTGGGGTGGTATAGCTACAAACCAAAGACTGCCAAATACTGTCAGCAAACCATCAAAAACTAGAATTCACACATAGAACAGGATCCTCACACAGCCCTAAGAAGTACCCAGTCCCACCGATGCCTTTATCTTAGACTTCTAGGCTCCAGAGACGATTTTTGTTTTATCTAAACCACCCACTTTGTGGTATTTTGTTATAGCAGCCCTATGAATAAAGGAAGAAAACAGAAGTTAAGCAACTGTCAGGTAGAACTGGGCATGGTGACACACTGTCTCAGCTATTCAGCAGGCTGGAACAGAAGGAGCCCAAGAGTTTGAGACCAGTCTCAAACAATAATGTGAGACTATGCCTCAGTTAAAGCAAACGAAGAGAATAAAAGAACAAAGGGCAAGAGGGAAACGCTTCCTGTAATAATTTCCAATAAATAAGAGCACCTGGTTTCAAAATGGTAAAGAAACTATTGGCAATGTATCAGGCAATAAGATGACAGTCGATTTGTTTCTAATCTTCAGTAAACATAATAGTAAAGAGGAAAGAAAAATATAGAATTTACTGTAAGACTTTCAAATATTTTAATGAAGACTTTCAAATATTTTAGACTTTTGTTTGAACTATAACTACAACTATCATTAGGCTTTTCTCCTTACAGTTTAGAAACAATAACAAACTTTGAAAGAATCTGTTTTGAACTTGGCATTTTAACATGAATGGTTCTTTGAAAAATAATACTTTTTCTGGTTCACATTTTTATAGTACTCATTGTATTGTTCTCACCATTTCTCTTGATCCCAAATGGTACATCTTCCTGGAAAGATTTGTTATGAAACTAAGACTCAATTACTATTATATAGTACTCTTATTTCCTCAACAATGAGTCAGTTGACCAAGAGCTTTTATTTACCATTATTAACTATGCTACAAATCTATCCAGTCAAAAGCTTTTACTCAATATTTGTCCTTAATTTGAAATATTCTCCATAACCCTCAATTTGTAGCAAATCATATGTAAATAAAGTTATATTTTAGCTGCATAATTATGTCCTAGTTCTTAATGTCAGAAAATTATACCACATTCTTTTTTTTTACCACATTCTTCTTAAAGCTCTTTATACAGAGATGATGCCAATAATGTTTGATAACCAATGAAAAATAGTCATTTGTCAGAAGATATTGGCAATTTTGGGAAAATACACTTGAATATGGGCCATGAATATAAGAAGCTTTTGTCCTTTCAACTTTGAATGCACTCAGTGTTTACAATATGAAAAATTACTTTGTCATATATTGCTCCAAAATTAGTTACAAAATAAACTGCATATCCTGTTCTTCAAATTCCAAGTATTTCCAAGGACATGATTCAGCTGACTGCTATGCTTCACATAGCTTGGTATCTAGGCATTCTGCAGGATTTAAACTTTATTATAAACACTTAATTATACACACTAAGGTGATTACTGCCGCTGGAGTCTCCCAAGTACCCAACAACTGTTAATTAAGCAACTGTCATATGGCAAAAAATAATTTTTAATTAGAATTACCAAGATTATTGGGCAGTTATGATTAGAAATGGTAGCTAAAATTGCCCTTGGCCTTTTTTCTATACCAACTGAAACAATGACCCAATCTATTACCCTGAATGACCCACAGGGACATACAACAACTTTCCAACATTCAAATTACCTCTTTTCTTTTTCATCATTTCTATTACCTACTTGGTTTTATTTTCTTTCAGCTAGCTAGTGACACTCATTCAAAGAAAAAATGTTTTCTTTGAAAAGTAGTAGAAGGAAAAATACTTTTCTTCTACTAGCCACGCTCCAAACAAAAAACAAGACATGTATGTCTTTAAGACAAAAAAGTAGATGTTTATTTTTCATTACTAACTTTGAAGTAAAAATTACGTTTGTAAAAGGTATGCCAACATTTTTTTCCAACTACACTTATTTATGGCTTAATTGCTAAGTTACAAAATTTTGTAAAGCAGAGTATATAATAAAATATTTTAGACTCTCGAAAGGTTTTCTTTAAAAAGATTCTTGTATGCCCTACTGGACTTAAAAAAATAACAAATGATCAGAAGGCAATATACTATAGTTATTTAAATAAATTAATGCATGACATGTATTTAACACATCAGCAAAGCCTATGGCAACATTAACATTTTAAATTATCTGGATCACCAGCACAACCTATGTACTCAGTCTAAAACTCTGGATTTCTTCCATTTGCCTATTTTATAAAGATAGATTTAAAACAAATTTCACATATTCTTAAGCATTTAAAAATGTACGTAATATTCCATTTGTTCGTAAACAAAATTTCTATACCAAATTATCTTTTGTGTATTTAAATTATTACATATTTTTCTTTATCAACGTCTAGTTTGTGAGTGTATTTAAATATTTCTTTGACTCATTGTTACTGGTTTGTTTTTTCTTCAGTGCTGGTGATCAAAGCATTCTACCACTGAACCACATTTCTGGACCCTGAAGCATTTTTATTGTACCTTCATTACATTTTAGATTTATGGGTGAAACTTAACTAAATTGTGTTAACTGGATTTAATTTGAAGATTTTTCAGAACCTATGAAGCTGCTTAGAAAATACTTTGTGTGCATATGCACATTTTTGGCAAGGAAAAAAAAGCCTGTAGATTTCATTAATTACCTCAAAGGAACCTCTGATTATCTTGCAGAGCCAAGCAACTGAGCTCAAAAGAAACACATGAAAATGAATCAGAAAAATCTTGAAATAAAATACCCTTGACCTTTTTTTAAATTACAAAAAGACTTTTTTCCTGATGTATGTAGTACATGTTAATCATTTAAAAGAAAAAAATTATCTTGCTGTGATAAATAGCAAGACATTATACAATCATGTATAAGGTTTCAGTCAAGGGCTGATTACACTGACAGTGGTAACCCTAGACTATCACCCAGTGATAGGTTAGCTATTGTAGGCTATACAAGTATACTTATCCTATGTGTGTACAATCATGACATCATAGGATACATTTCTCAGGCTTTAATCTCTGTTGTTATAGTGAAACACAACTGTGTATCACAATAGCACAACATAACAGATATCCTGAAATTGGCATATTTTAGGTAAAATTATATGGAACTTCATATTACAATGTTACTGGACAAATAAGTGTCTGATAGTATAAACTTGTATTTCATTGTAAAGCTTTATACATGGCAAGCTTTACAATAACAACTGGAACTTAGTAAAAATGTGTTGTACACAGCATATTGATGGTCTGGTTATTAAATGCTATAAATATTCCATACAGCATATATTTTGAAAAACTTATTTTGAAAGGTAAAAAGACTTGCATGAAGAAAAAAATGCACATGCAATGTTAAAACATTACATTGAAGTAAGTGTCTAAAGTTAAATATAGAGTGTGTTGTAGGGAACGCTGGGGTAGAACCCATGGTGTTGTATGTACTGCAAGTGCTCTACCACTGAGCTAGCTACACATCTGGTCCTATTTCTTTCTTTCTTCCTTTCTTTTTCTTCCTTCCTTCCTTTCTTTCTTTCTTCCTTCCTTTCTTTCTTTTTTTTCACAAGTCCCAGGGCTTGAACTCCAGGCCTGGGCACTGTCCTTGGCCTCTTTGTGCTCAAAGCTAGTGCTCTGCCCCAGGACACAGTGCCACTTCTGGCCTTTTCTGAGTAGTTTTATTAGAGATAAGGGTCTGACAGATTTTCCTGCCAGGGCTGGCTTGTAATTGTGATCCTCAGATCTCAGCCTCCTTGGTAGCTAGTATTATAAGCATGAGCCACTGGTACCTGGCTCGGTCCTAAATATTTATCGAAGACAACAAAAAAGAATCTGAAATTTCCATCTTTTGTTTAGAATACAAATAATGATCAGAAAGATATATAGTATATATAGAGTATACTTTCAACAACCAGAAAATGGTAATATAACAAATATATAACAAATTATGAAAAGTTGTGATCATCAATTTGTGATGATGAAGCAGAATTTTTTCTAAAGTGTCAATATTACTATGCCGTAGGACAAATTAAGATTATAATGTCAGAATGTTTGACAATCATCTCACAAAACTGTCCTCATATCACTACTTGTTTATATTCAGGCAATCTAAAACTAAAAGACATTGAAGCTGCAAATGTGGAACATACCTAGTATAAAATATGGTCACAGTGATCAGTGTATGTTCCAAATGTTTTTCTCCACTCTTAGTTTATGATATAAAGTAGGAGTAGGTTATTGCAGTTCTCTGTGGTTTCTGCTATGGAATGTGAGCTCCAAAATGACAGCTGGTCTTTCTGCTCTCTTCAACAATGCATAAAGAACATCCTACACAGGGTCTGGAAAGCAAGATATGAACAAGAAAGGATAGTCTCAGACTAGAACGGGAGACTGGAAAGGAAAACAGAAAACAAAAGTGTGATAATACTTTTAAAAAGCCAGCCACATTGTCAAATCAGGAGAACCTTAAGGCCAAAATATGACATTTGCACTGTACACAAGAATGAATAGCCATAATCACTATTATGTATTAAATTCCAAAATAACTTCTAATACAACTCATCAACTTGGTACTTTGTAAAATAAAGACAAAAAACATGAAACTTTATAAATTAACTCTTGTGGGGTTCAAAATACATATATTAAAATTTTCTGCAAGAACATAAACTATTAACAATACTTTTTCTGGGAAGGACTTAGGGACTTCATGTAGAAAGAAGAAAATATTTTTTCCCATAGGTTTTATCTACTGTTTGAGTTTTTTTTACAATTAATATGTACATTTTACCAAAAAAATAGGAAAAAAATCCTATTTATGATTATTTTTACATACCCAGGCAGAAATTTATAAACTGTGAGCTCTCCCAAATATACTGATGTTTCACACTATGTAAAGTCATCATGTCTATTATTTTCTCTTTAATAAATATAAAAGTGGAAAATGAAACATAGTAGGACATAAGAAACTGTGACATATACATCAGTCTCCTCTAAAGTTGAAAAATAAAGTACTTATGATACATAAAAAAGAAAATTTTTCCCAGGGCTCAAATCACAGACAATGCTTGCTGGTTTCTCTGAAGTATTATCAGTGATCTGTATTGTTACTGAATATTGTGTTCAAATGTAGGGCTTTGAGATTCTTCACAAAAGAGAACTGTTATACATTTTGTGCAACCAGGGACATGACAGACCCAAAAGCAAACCTTAGTGGCTCATTCTGATGATAATTTAGGAAAATCTCTTATATAATTTTAAAATAATGATCTCAGTAGGAACATCATAAAGGAATATCAAAGGGTGTTGTTATAGGATTATAAATTCAATTTTTAGTTCTTAGTTGCATTTCTACTTTTAATATACTTCATTATAAAGCAATAACGAATAATTTAAAAAGCAGTAGCGTTTACTAGGTCTAGCAAGTACAAGGCCTTGAATTCAAACTCTAGTATCATAAAAACACATATACACACACAATAGTTCTTGAATGATGACATATATAACATTAGTAATAATACTAAAGCGTGTAAAATTTTCAAATTAATATAATTTCAATGCCAGCTTTAATTAACACACTAATAGTATATATGCTTATAATATTAAGCATGGCATTTTGAAGTAAAGTATGTATACACTGTTGGAATAGCTCAATCAAGCTAATTAACATACATATGTCCCTAAATATTTCTTTCTTGTGGTAAGAAAACTTTCTTACCAACTTTCAAAATATGATACAACGTTGTAACTATAAATAGCATGCTGTACCACATAATTTATTCAAAATAACTGAAACCCTTTACCTTTTAACTAATATCTTGCCAACCCATCTCCCTGTCTCTGTTACCCATCATTCTAATGTTTTTATCAGTTCAAACTTTTCAGATTCTTCATATAAGTTAAATCATGTGGTATTTATCTTCCTGTGCTTGGTTTATCACTAAACACAATGTATACCAGGTTTATCCATATTGTTAAAAATAACAGAATTTCTTTCTTAAGACCAGACAGTATTCTCTTTTTTACTAGATTTAAATAATACCCTTTCTGGAACTTGTAAAAGCATGTTTTAATGGCAGCCTACTAAATGACTGTATTGAAAGTTCTTAAATTAAGCAACTGTTTCTCATGATATGCTTCGTTTTCTTGGTTGGTGTGTTCATCTAGTGATTTCCTTATACAACTCTTTAATTCTTCAATTCCTTCTCCTGTAATTGCAGAGATGGGGATGACATGTTGGAACTCTACAATCTTTTCTGGAATCATTTCTTTTTCAAATAGATGCAAGAAATCTGAAATAAAAAAAAAAGTAAAGAAGATTTCCACTGTGCTTGAAAGGAAGACAAGACTATGCTGGTATTAGAGTTTTGATTTATAAAGCAGGGAATCCAAAACTAACATTTTAAATTTCCTTTTTTCCTTCTTTAATAAGCTCCAACAATCTCTGAATTTTAGTAAAAACAATAGTAAGGTACTTGGCATGCAGTAAGTTCTTAATAAGCATTGGCTGAATATATTTATTTACTTTGGATGAGTATGTTTTAAAACAAACTGAAAATAAAACAAGTTGAATCAGATGATGTACTTACAGAAATTGATAAATTTTGCTTTTTGAGGGAGTTTGATAAAGTACCTGTCAATAACACAGTTACTCCGAAAGAAGTTTCTCATAAAAATAATGTCATTTATAGTTTGAAACATTCTCTTTGGTCTAGTTCCCAAAGTATAGGCTTATCATCATTGATGCCAAGATGAACATACTTAAAATTGAAGAGGGAGCAGGAATAGTCCAAGGAGTATCACTTTAAATGGGTACAATCTACTATTCTCAGAGGTTAATAATAATAAATATTACACTTTTTTAAAAAAACTTTTCTCTGCCACAACAGCAATGGGAAAGGGGAGAGCAAGGTCACTGGATGGATTAACAATGATATAAACCAGAAAATCTAGATAAATTAGACAAGCTGAGCTTGGTTTCTAAGAAACCAAAAAAGTCTGAAGAAGTTAACTCAAGAATTAAGTTGGTTGGTCCCAAATAGCTACAAACTCTTGGATTAGCCTCACTTCTGATACCACCTCTAAAAATACTCTTCTTCACAAAAAATAATTACCAAACAGAACTGATGACTCATAAAGCAAAGGGTATAAAGGAATGAAAACTATGAACAGTATTAGTAAAGACGTAGATCATAAGAATGACTTATTAATTCAAGGATAGCTCTGGCACAAGCAATTACTTAGAGCAAGATTTTCAGAGACAAAGGACCTTCTGGTATTGTCTTCTATAAGTACACTATAAGCTATTTTTCCCAATTATTATTCCACCAATAAAAAGAGAAGCTAGTACTATTTATACTTTTCCTTACTTGTACATGAGGTTCTGAATTATACTCAGTAAACTGAAGCACCATCACCATAAGATAGAGGTATTCTCTAATGGTCACTAGTGATAGAATATAATGTTCTGTGTCACACATACCCAAAGAACTAAAAAACTTCTCTTTAAAAAGATGTTTTCAAGCAAAGTGCTGGTGGCTCATACCTGTTATCTTAGTGTACTAGGGGACTGAAATTCTAGAGTTTGTAAAATATGTTAAAGTGAAAGACTTCACAGATGCTGACTTTCCACAACTTTTATCTAAGTCACAGATACTCTTTAAGAACCCAGTTCCAGTTGAGCTTCTTCATGAAGCCAAACCATTTCACATCAAATTAATCTTTCTTTTCTTGTGTCTCATTTAGGCTTACAGTCCATAACACATATTTTGGAATTTGGTAATAATGTTTTATATGGCATATGTTGTTTTCTTCAAACACACACAGATTTTTTTTGGGGGGTGGTCCAGTCATGGGGCCTGAACTCTGGGCCTGGGCACTGTCCCTCAGCTCTTCAGCTCAAGGCTAGCGCTCTACCACTTGAGCCACAGCGCCACTTCCGGCTTTTTTTCTTTTTGCTTATGTGGTGCTGGGGAATCGAACCCAGAGCCTCAGGCATGCAAGGCAAGCGCTCTACCACTGAGCCACCTTCCCAGCCCACACACATAGATTTTAAGAGCAGAAACAATTAGATTTCTTTTCCAGTGATTAGAAATACTTAACATTAACATGGTTAGTGCTCATTAAACTGGGATTACATTATTGAGGGATTTACCTTTAGGATTCTGGAGTTGGTACATCAGTTCATGAAATTTATCTTGGGCATCTGGCAAGTCCATTTTATTAATGACCAGGAGTGCAGGTTTTGCATGAAGTTCTTCTTTGTACAACTCCAACTCCTTTAAATAAAAAGAAGAAAAACCAGACATGGAAAGATCTAGAGAGCTCATTCTTTGCACTAAAATGCAGTAAGTCTCAACAACCATAGAACTAACAAAGGAGCTTCAGAAAATACTTCTGGTTAAGTCATTTGAATGTTAGCCCACTTGACTACCTAGAGACAGTTGATTTATGTATGGAGCCAAATACAGATATCTGGATTTCATTAAAAAGTTGTCAAAAACAATAACCTTGGAGAAAAAAAACTCATGTACTAAAATCTTTATAATCATGAACTTAGCAACTTTCTTAGACATAATCCAAAATCACAAGCCAAAAAAAAAAAAAAAGGAAGAAAATTTTGACAAGGTAGATAAATAAGTCTTGGTCAGAATTTAGAAACAGCTTTTTTCTCTGCTCAACAACATAGGCAGGAAAATGTAAATAAACCCCAATAAGATTTCATCTAGCCTAGCATGATAAAGCATGCTTGTAATCTTAGCTACTCAGGAGAAAGGAAGATTATTAATACAAGATCAGCCAAGACAAAGGTAGACAGTCTTTGAAATCTTGTGTCAAAACCAATATAAACAAAAGGACTACAGTAATGATTTGAGAATGCTTGTCTAGTATGCATGAGGCACAGGGTTCAATTTCCCAGTAATGCCAAAACAAAAAAGAGAAAAATGTTATCAATTTAGATGGTTATTATAGAAAAGGCAAACAGTGACCAATGTTCTCAAGGGTATAAAGAAAGAAATCCAGCCGAGTGCTACACATGAGGATCACAATTCAAAGCCGGCCCTGGGCATAAAAGTTGAAGACTCTTATCTACAATTAACCACCAAAAATCTGGTAGTGGAAGCTCTCGCTCAAGTGGTACAGTGCTAGCCTTGAGCAAAAAGCAGGGATAGTGCCCAGTTCCTGATTCAAGACCTAAAACTTCCAAAACACTAACAACAAAATCCTTATACACTATTAGTACAAATGTATATTCTTATAGAAAACTGTGGAGGTTACTCAAATTTATAAATAGAACTACTGTAAGATCCAGCAATTACCCTACTGTGTGTAAATCCAAAGAAAATGAAATAAGTACACTGAAGAAACAAAAAAAATACATACATACATGTTCATTATAACTCTATTCATAATTGTCAAGAAATAAAAATAATATAAATGTCCACTAACTGAATGGAATAAAAAAATACAGAGTAAATGGCCAGGCACTGTTGGCTCACACCTGTAATCCCAGCTACTCTGAAGGCTGAGATCAGAGGATTGTGGTTCAAAGTCAGTCCAGGCAGGAAAATCTATGAGACTCCTATCTTCAATAAACTATTCAAAAAAGCCATAAGTGATATCTTGGCTCAAGTGGTAGAGTGCTTACCTTAAGCAAAAGAAGCTCAGGGATAGTGCCCAGGCCCAGAGTTCAAGCCCAAGGACATACATACACACAGAAAAGCACAGTAAAGTTGTGTAGCTGGGATTACAGGTGTGAGCCAACAGTGCCTGGCCATTTACTCTATATTTTTTTAACCCATTCAGTTAGTGGACATTTATATTATTTTTTATTTCTTGACAATTATGAATAGAGTTAAAATGAACACGTATGTATGTATTTTTTTTTGTTTCTTCAGTGTACTTATTTCATTACACACAGAAAAGCACAGTAAAGTTGGCCATCAGTAGCTTATGCCTGTAATCCTAGCTACTAGGATCTTGGCCTGGAGCTCAAACCCAGGACTGGTTAAAAAAAAAAGAAAGGGAAAAGAATACACAGTACATGTACAGTAGAAAACTATTCAGCAATAAGAAAGAATAAAATTATGACAATTTCAGCAACAGGTGAAACTGGAGAGCATTTTGTAAATGAAACATGCCAAGAAAATACAAATACCACATGATTTACTCATATGCAATCTAAAAGAGTTGAACTCAAAGAAGTTGAGAGTAGAATGGTGGATACTGGAGGTTTGGGTAGTATAAGGAAGGGGACAGAATCAAAGTGAGGGGTGCTGATCAATGGATAATAAATTATAATTCAAATTGGGAAAAGTTTTAGTGTGCTTATACAACAAAGGACTTTCAAAATTTTTACTATAAAGAAAAAATGCTTGAAATAAGTATGTTTGAACTGATTTAAATATTTCATGTATCAAAACATATAGTACAACCTAGATGGATACAACTTTTATGTATTTAGTTTACACATGCAAACACAATCTGAATAAACATTTCTTTAAAGACATACAAATTGCTATAAACACATGAAAATATGCTCAATATCAATCACAAGCAATATACAAATAAAGATCAAATAATACTGCATTCCAACAAGATGATTAAAATAAAAACATCAGACAACTAGCATTCACATTGGTATATAATATTGAAACCCTCAAGCGTTGCTGGTTGAGTCAATGTGGAAGCTGTTAGATAGTTCCTCAAAATGTGAACCAAGTTAACATAGAACCAGCAGTTTTACTTCTAGGCATATATTTAAAAGAAATGAAAACATTATGTCTTCACAAAAATCTCTACATAAATATTCACACCATTATCCATTACAGATAAAACAACTAAGACTTACACACTTCTGAAGGTAAGAAACCTCATACTGTGCAGAAAAATACAGAATGCAGAAAATGCAGAAAAAAAGGTAGGGGAGGGGAAGAAGAGCTACTAAGCAGGGAACCAAATTTGCTAGACCTCACTGACCACGGTCAGGTTAAACTTTAATCCTGTTTTGAACAGAACAAAGAGGAGCTTGACTCTTTTACAAAGACCATTCTTTGTATTGTCAGAAAAAATGGACTGGAGAGACGCAAAACTGGAAGCAAGGAGAACAGACAGGGACAGATATGATATGAGAGAGCATAATTATTACAAGTATAGATAGCTTTTAGAGATTCAGAAAATAGAACTGACAGTCATTCATGCATATGGTGAGAAAACAGAATCAAGAATACCTCCCAGATTTTTAGCTACATACTAAATGAAAATTCTAGAGGGAGGTAAAGAAATTTTTTTGTTTAATTCTAAGCATATTAATAACACATCTAATTAAAGATGTCTAATAAGTATCAAAGCACAATCAAAAGGTTGTCACATATAGATCTGGAATCTTGTAACTGAATATATATTCACTTATATATATATATTCATTGTAACTGAAGAAATGAGAATTGGTAGGACTGAACAATAGCTAGGACAGAAATTTAAATATTATTTAAAGGATAAGTGGACGCTGGACACAGTGGCTTATGCATGTAATTAATCCAAACTACCTGGGAGGTAGAGATTGGGAAAACTGTGGTTTAAGGTTAACCCAGGCAAAAGTTTACAAGATCCTATCTCAACCAATAAAAAGTTGGGTGTCATCTCAGGTAAGTGGGAAACATAAACAGGAGGATTACGGTCCAGGCTAGCTGGGCAAAAAGTTATTTTTTTAATTCAAAATAATAACTAAAGCAGAGAAAGGAATGGAGTAAGGTGCAAGGGGAAGAGCTCCTGCCTTGCAGAAAAGCCCTGAGTGAACTCAAAACTACAAAAGAAATCAAATCTAAGAAAAGAAAAAAGAAGACAACAAATAAGAAGAGAATCAGAAAAGAGACTGAAATGTAGACTGAGAGCCAGGCACAGTGGCTCCATCAGTGAGCAGACTAAGATTAAGAAGACTGCATTTCCCAAGCCAAATGAGCAAAAAGTAGACTAAGAAACAGTCTAAAAAGTAGGAAAAGAATCTAAGGTTCATCAAGCCAAAAATGAAGAATGTTTCAAGAAGAAATACACATGTCAAAATTGAAGCAAGATAAAATGTACAAAGTAATGGATTTGGAAGTTGGGAAAAGTTTTATCTATTTCAATACTTTGAGGAGCAATGAATGCTGAAGAATCAGACATCAACCAGCTAAAAAATTATAATTGAGATTATAAAAATATTTAAGGATATAAAAATCTTAAAAAGGTGAATTACAATGTTATGTAAAGGATGTTTGTTAGGTTTTTAAAAAGAGTAAAAACCACACCACGCACGTGGTATTCAGGTAAGGGGGAGGTTTATTTATTGTTCTGGCTGGCACCAGGCCATGTTGACCCTCCAAGCGGATGAGAAAGGCCAGGGAAAGACCTGGGAAAGAGACCTGGGAAAGAGAGCATCTGGGCCTGAGCTAGGCCTTATCTGGGGAAGGGGGGGGGGGGGGGGGGGGAAGGTGTGGCCACACTGAATCCAGATGTGACCTGAGCAGATGCAGATGTGACCTCTTCCAGGTGTGCCAGTTGCCTAGGTAACTCAGGTACTGGGTGGAGACTTTGCTGTGAGGAGGGTGGAGTCTGCTCACCATTCAGGAGCGGACCTTACAATGTTAGATATAAAATACAGAAAAACAAAGCACCTACTTTTGTAAGTAGCATTACAGTTTCAAAGGCAGTTCTGTACTGAGTTTGGGAAGAAAGCTGAAATCCAGAAACATCAACCTAAAAAAGAGAAGAGACAGTCTTTAACATAAAAATGGTTATACATTTCTATATATTGATAGGAAGTATTCTTTCAAGCTAAAACAATTTCTCAAACTACAATCTACTAAATTTTCACAATTAAAAACAAGTAACAGAAACCGAGGTGTCAAGATTACTAAATTACTTTCAAATTACTAATAATATAAGCCTGTAATTCCATACATGTGTTGTTCATGATGAACTTTTATAATATTACTTAATATTACTTAGTATTAATTAATGAGAATCTAGTATATAGAAGTCAATTTTTAATAATATAGACAATCTCATATATAACTCAAGCAATATCAATAAAAGAGAAAAGACTAAAGAGACTAAATAATAGTATGCCAGAAATCTTAAGGAATTAAATCTTGACAAGCAGGACCAAACTAAATGTAGTAATACTGACATTTCCATCCCCATGACTACTGATTACCTGCCATACGTGTTCCCCTATAAACAGACTTAGAAAGTGAAACTATACTACTATAGTCAGACTTCATGATGGGGATATTATACTGAGAAATGCATTACAAAGTGATTTTGATCAGTGAGTGAACATCTGAGAATAGCTATGATACAATGCAATTAAATCTTATTGCATCAACATAAGATATATGCCGTTCATTACTGATGAAAAATGAGGTAACATTAGAGTATTTTGTCTTTAAATCACACTTATAAAACATTCCTGGGAAAACTAGGTCCATTCATTTGAATATCACACTAGTACACATATGACTTACAACAAAGAGTAGTTGTCTTGTTCTCTCTATATGCTTGAGGAATTTGTGGCCCATTCCTTTGTTCTTATGTGCTCCTTCTATCAAACCTGGGAGATCAGCTACTGATATCTAATACCAAGTTAAGGATTTGATGAAAAAGAAACATACATGAAAACCACAGCTCAATTATACTCCAACATTTTCATGTTATTTCAAATATAAACAGTTTCTAATTTATGATTCCTACTATATCTTTGGAAAAATAGGATACCTTTTTAGCTACATATTGTATGTGTGTGTATATATATGTATATATATATATGTGTATATATATATACACACACACATATATATGGAATAAAAAGTCCTTTGTTACCAAATATTATTTTACTTAAATTTATGAGTCCAACCATCTGTAGATCTGAGGGACTGGTATAGCATTTATTACTTCCAAAGTAACTAATCACATAAGCCTGTAATTCCATAAATGTATTATTTATGATGGATTTTTTTGTAAAATTATAACTTTCACTATCTGAATTCATTAAAGTTTACATGGATATTATAATATTCAGTAAACATTTACTAAGTGTATCTGCTTAAAGTTCCAAATTTATTTTTTGAAATGGCATCATTGTTCCTTTCCTGATATTATACCAGCATATTCACTAGTATTTCAAGATAGCAGAATGCAGTATTCCTAAACTCTTTTGAAGGTGGTAAGAATTATAAACCATCACTCTACACTTGAGCTTTTTGAAAGTCACTATAAACCATAACCATTGAGTAAAAGAAGTCTCATGTCCTGAGATTTCCTTTAAAGGTTCTCTGCTGATTTTTTTCAATGTATATATCCACCTAAAAAAAAATAAACTCTCGGGCTGGGAAGGTAGCTCAGTGGTAGAGCGCTTGCCTTGCATGCCTGAGGCCCTGGGTTCGATTCCTCAGCACCACATAAGCAAAAAGAAAAAAG